ATGATCATTTTTATCAAGCTTATATATTTAAGTTCAGTAATTTTACTTAAGTGACAATGAAGATTACCTATGAATTGCCATTTATGTGAAATTACTCAAAAGGCACTTAGAGGCTTTTGCATCTGAACTCTTCATATATATATATATATATATATATATGTGTGTGTGTGTGTGTGTGTGTGTGTGTGTGTCCACCCTATTTTAAGAGGCTGGACTTCAGCCATGGCCCTGAAGAGACAGATACTCTCTTTACTTTGATCTCTTTCCATTGTACACATACACACTCAGGCAAGGATGATGGTTGAGGGCCAGAGCAGTAACAAGTCCATGGATTATGTTACATTTGTGTGTGTAGGAGGGCGAGGAACTGATCCAGGAACAGCCTGAGTTGCGATCGGTGGTGGAGGTAAAGTTGAAGGAAATCAGAGAGTGCTGGTCTCACCTGGAGAACACCACCAAAGTCAAGGCTCGCCAGCTCTTTGAAACCCAGAACCACCGCACTATCGACCTGCCCACCAACAACCTCAGCGACCTGGACCAGCATCTCAACGTCATACAGGAGCAGCCACCCACACTAAGCTCCGCCCACACCACTCAACCCACCCTCCTTCAGCCCCGCCCCACTTTCAGCCAGCAACTCCAGAGGATACAAGTGAGACCAGAAACAGCCACTAAAGGATATTTCTTAATTTGGCAAATTGCATGTCCATTTGAAATTTCACTTTATACTTTATAATCTCTTAGTCGTTGGAAGCCCAAATGCAGCTTTATCATGGTGTTGGCGAAGTCAGGGGCAATGCTGATCCCCGGAGACCAGAAGTAGAAGAGCAAGGAGGTGTGGTGGAGACCCGAATTGTGCGTCTTATTGAGCCTCTGAAGGAAAGGAGGCGGATCCTTCTTGCCTCAAAAGAAATGCACCAAGTTACCCAGGACCTGGAGGAAGAGATTGTGAGTATTTCTTTCTTTTCTCTATTTAGTTTGTGGTGCTTCCTGTTACTATTTGCTCATTGTTAATTGAATTAAGTCTTAAAATTTGCACATATTGGACATAATGCATATCTTAAATTATTAAGGAGAGAAGTTATTACTTTTCTAAGCAATAGAAGGTCAGGAAAAGGTCAAATAATTTCCAGCTAAATAATCACTTAGTTACTCCCAAAAATGTTACTCCCTGAAATCCTTGCAATTGCATAAGGACATTCTAACAAACTTAAGAACATAGGGATGCACGATTTTGGGCAAAATCTAATTGTGATTTTTCTGATAAAAATTGTGATTGCGATCTAAAATGCATGCTGTGTATGCTGTGCTTCTTTTTACTTTGGCTGTGAATATATATTTTACTGTGAAAGAAAAAATAGATTATTTAAGAAAAATATTATAATATTATTTTACAATATAACTGTAAAATTACAGTACTAAAATTATATCTGTTTTCATTTATTAATTTTCAAACGTTAAAACGCCCAAGCTTTTATTTTGGTAAAAAATCGGTTTTTATTACAGTTTTATCATGCAACCCTATCAGAAAACCTTAACAACTGCATAGCTATCCCTTGGTAACTACTCACAAGTTCATAAAAAAAGTACTTTTGCTATTACGTTTACCTAACACCATCGATTTCACTATTTTGTGTTTTGTAGGTATGGATTCAGGAGCGGTTACATTTGGCCTCATCTACAGAATATGGCACCAATCTGCAGAGTGTCCAGCATTTATTCAAAAACCATGAGGTGGGAGTTACAAACCTGTTGTCAGTAAAACTATTGTCTCCTTTTCTGAACTCTGATATTGGACACAATTCTCAGACAGGTAGTTGTGTTTCTCTGATAAAGAATAAAGACAATCACTGTGGGATATGCTCTGTTTTTACAATTAGTCACACTGAAATATTGTGTTAAATTAACAGCTTTAAATATAATCCCCTACCCACATTTTTGTTGGAGAAAGTGTCCATTTAAACAATTTGGAAAAAAAAAATCTAAACTTGCTTTGATCACAGTAATTAAACACTCAATGCTGCTCTTTCCTTTGATACTTTTTGCCTTGCTTTGGGATACCAACTTCTTTAACTTCTACATTGAACAATCATGTATGTTATTTGTACATTCATAAAATGATGTAGAGGATATTTCCTGCCAACTTTCCATAACTATAAAACTATAAGACTAGAAGCAGAATAAAGAAGATAGATAAATAAAATAAATAAGAGGTCTGGGAATTTATTTATCTCTGTGCTGTGTTGCAGGCCAACAGCCAAATAATATACAAATGGCTTGACTGTCAGTCAATTTGGATCGATTATCAGCTACATTTATAAACTCAGCAAACACAGAACGTTCCCCTAATGTTCCCGAATGGTCCCATGAGGTTATTTTTTGGGGAACCAAACAAGAACTGTTATAGGAACAAGAACGTTATGGTTATTTTTAGGTTCCATTTTTATAACGTAAGGAGAATGTTCCGGGAACATTCCCTTAACCTTAAGGGAAAGTTCTAGGAACGTTCTGGGAACCAAAAACTAACGTTCCCAGAACCTAAATTTGTTTGCTGGGAAGGGCCATTTACACCAAGGAGGATAACTGTACTGATAACTATGAGTTTCAATAATCATTATAATTCTATGAGAACAAGAATGCCCACAGGAAACAAGATAACTGCAGCGTGTGCTTATAATAAACAGAATGTTATATTTCATTGGCATCGATGCTAAAATGGTTATTCCGGCTATCTTTATAGTAATCATTCTTGGTGTGAACTTCCATTAAAAGCCAAATTAATAATTTATTGTTATCTTCTTGTTTTTTAATATACATCATTAGTCATTTTGCAGATTTCTGGATATTGTTGTGGTTTAAGACTGAGGATATGGTTTGGTTCTCATGGCTTCCAGTGATGAATTGTGATTGATATTTCACTTGTGTGAATAATTGGACATGTAGGCGCTGCAGATGGAGATGCAGGCACGGAGAGGGCGAGTCGAGGAGGTGCTGGACAGGGCAGAGGCCGTTGCTGCCCTGAGGACCCCAGAGGTGGAGCTTGTGCGGGAGGGGGCGGGGCATGTGAAGCAGCTTTGGGAGGTGCTTCAGGTAGAGATGGAGCGTCGCACAGTGATGCTGGATGCTGTGAGTCACGCCCAGCAGTACTATACCCAGGCAGCGAAGGCTGAGTCTTGGCTCAGTGGACAGAAGCTTCAGGTCCTCAATGAGGAAAACGGAAACGTATGTACTGTACCTCGAACTCAATCCATCTGTCACGTAAATCAGGGGTTTTCAAAGTGGGTCCAGAAACTCCCAGGGGGCCGCAAGGGAGTGCTAGGGGGTCTGAGGATATAAAAAATATATCTATAATAATAATTAAAAATATAAATTGTATTTAAAAATGAATAAAAGTTTGATTACTGTAAATAAAAAATAAAAAAATAATGCATCTAACAGTACAGTGCAATGAGTAAAAAAGTAATAATTAACCTAATAGAAAATATGTGTTTTTAAAATAATATTTAGAAATTTATTATATACATTTTTCACAATATAAATTGGGCCTTTATGCAAGAAACTAAATAGATGCCTTTACAATTTTAGAATGGGGGCATGACAATAATCTTATCAATAATCAATATTTTGGTGGTCCATGGAATCTAAATGATTGAAATTCCATGACATAATTTATGCTGTTTTTAAAACATCATTACTCAGCATTATTTAATGTATTACAGTGTGTTAATACACTGGCATGTGTATGTGTGTTTTCAGAATAGAAACTATACCAGTGTTGTAAACTGTAGTTAATACAGTGTGGTCTGTTTGTCTTTCACTTTGTAAACCAAGACATACTCCCTCCCTCCCTCCCTCCCTCTCTCTCTCTCTCTCTCTCTCTCCACTTTTAGGATGAGACCAGCACTCTTAGGTTACTGAAAGAGCAGTTGGCTTTAGAGCAAACGGTAGAGAATTATGCAGAGACAGTGGGCTCACTGTCCCAGCAGTGCCGTCGAATGCTTGAGTTGGGACATCCAGACAGGTAAATATAAATGTCTCATTTTCACCAAATCTCTTCAATGTTAATCTGAGTTTTTGGCCAAAATATTGTGACGGTTTCTTGGTTTCTATTTCTGCTGAATTGCTCTGTGTAGCCCTTCCCATAGGAAAAACTAATTGGTCCAAAATTGCATAGCCAAAAGCTGCATTTTACATATCAGTCAGTCACTTGTTCTGATTTGCATAATCAAATATTTGATTGCGCTGTCCATCAGGCATGCTATAAATACAGTCAGTCTGTGGTCAGTATTTATTTATTTATTTATTTTTTTTAAGAAATTAAAACTTTTATTAAATCTGCAGTCCGTAGCTTTTTTGATCCAAAATGATCCAAAATACATATTTGAGAAAATAGATAACCAGTGAGTGTTCAAAACTATCTGCCTGCCTTCGCTCGATTTGTTTTTAATTCCAGTGGTACTGGTGGATTTCCGTGGGAGATTCGAGCATGTCTTTGCGTCATTACGTCACATCTGTAGTATAAGCTATATTGCGTTTGAGGATGTTGGAGGGGGAGTTTTATAGCACTTTAGATTCTCTCACAGCACTTGATATAATTAAACTTATCAATTTGATGGCGGATCCAGAAAGGTTCAAATGACAATCACCAGTGACAACAGATTCAACCGCTATAAAATGCGAAAGACTTTGCTCGGACTTCGGAGTGGCTACAGAAAAGAGACTGCAACCGGACCCATGCGAAAACAAGGAGGATAATATCGGAAGAACATTACATGCAGTCACGCAATGCTGACATTGTTAACATTAACAATTTGAGAACAAAGTATAATTTGCACAGTTTTGCGTGATTTGAAAAGCGATTTTTAGATTTAATCAGCGTGATTTACTGCAATTTCGGAACCAGAACAAAAGTGGATGTTACTTACTAGTTCAAATGGCATTTTCCTGTGAAAATTCTTATGTTGGTCATACTTCCAAAAAGAATAATCTGGGATTCTGAATGCCAGTATCGACACCAGCGCGGCGACTGACAGCCTCACACTCTCCTCAAACATTGTGTTCATCCACGCTGTGTCGTGTCAAAGTACAACTCACGCAAAGTTGATAATTTCTCGAAAAACTGCAATTGCAGATTTCGAACACAGATGGGGACAAAAAGGAAAAACTGCAGACTGCAGCTTTAAATAAGTATGTATTAATTTGATCAAACTTGACAGAAAAGACATTTAAAATGTTTCTGTTCATTAAAGAATTCTGAAAAAGAATGTATAATGGTTTCCACAAAAATATTAAACAACGCAGCTGTTTTTAGCACTGATGATAATAAGAAACATTTCTTGAGTACCAAATCAGCATATTAGAATGAATTCTGAATGATCATGTGACACTGAAGACTGGAGGAATGGCTGTTGAAAATTCATCTTTGCCATTACAGGAATAAATTCAAATTATTCAAATAGAAAACAGTTTGACATTTTTATAATAATTTACAATATTACTGTTTTTACTGTTTTTGATTAAAAAAAAGCAACCTTGGTGAGCATAAGATAGTTCTTTTGAAAACATGAATACTTTTAAATGGTAGATTTATCGATTTGCAATAAATGGAGTGTGGCCCTCTTAGAATTTAACCTCTGTCTATCTTGTATCTTTCTTTTGCTTCTACATCAGTGAGCAAATCACCAAACAGCAGGCTCACATAGACCGACTGTATGTGTCTCTGAAAGACCTGGTGGAACAGAGGAAAACAAAGCTGGAACAGCAGTACTGGTTGTATCAGTTGAAACGAGAGGTGGAGGCACTGGAGAAATGGATCTCTGAGAGGGAGGCCGTTGCCAGCTCCACTGAGTTAGGCCAGGACCTGGAGCATGTTACGGTATCACCATCTCACACTAAACTCAGGGATGTAATATACTGACTACCAGTCAAGATGAAATAAAAATGAACCCAAAATGAATTCGCTCTTCCACTGAAAGAATGTTCCTTTCCTGCTGACGTCCCTTAGACAGGAAATAATATTAACCAATAAACAAATGGCTGTTTAGGCAGTGTCTTAAGCTACTATTAAAAAAAAAGAATATTTTCTTTCACTCAGAAATGTCTCTCAACTTTAATTTTCTCAGGTTCTGCAGTGCAACTTTACTCGGTTCTCTTCTGAGACGCGTGCAGTGGGTCAGAAACAGATGGATTCTGTCAATAAGATGGTCAATGAGATGATTGACTGCAGTCACTCTGACGCTGCCACCATCGCCGAGTGGAAGGATGGACTGAACGAGTCCTGGGCGGATCTTCTGGAGCTCATGGAGACCAGGGCGCAGATGCTCGCAGCTTCGTACCAGTTGCACAAGTTCTTCACTGACTGTCAGGAGGTATACAAGCACACATACAACCAGAAAGCATGTTTTTTAAACACAATCACAGTTAATTGACATATTGAAGGATCATCAATGTATCTGTGTTCGTGTTTTGTAGGTGCTGGTCCAGATTGAGGGAAAGATGAGACAGCTGCCAGAGGTGAGGTCCTGTCAGGTGAGCTCGGCCAACCCTGGCACACTGCAGAGACTTCTGCACTCTTTCGAGCATTCCCTGCAGCTGCTGGTCTCGCAGGTAAGACTCACACTAACACACACTCACACAAAACACCAACACCTGTTCTGAACAGGTGCAGCCGCCACGATAAATAAGTGTTTAGACTGGTTCGCCCTCCTGACCGAGAAAGGGGTGGTTCCCATTTCAGCCTATGAGCACATAAATAACACTCAGAAACACAGTTACAACCATCACACAGTACTGAATACTTAAAAGTCGGCATTAAACGGCGTGAACCAGCTTTTCGAACAAGAAAAAAATGTAGGATGGGACTGTCTATTGGGAATTGATTGGATTGTTATAGTTTGCTATTACTGTGATCTCATGTGAGTGACAGGTTGTCCTGCTCGCATGCCAGTAAATAAGTAAACAACAGAGGAGAGAAGAGGGAGAGGGAAGTTATTTTGATGAAAGATTATGAGGGCACATGCTTTAAAAAATATATATGTATATTCCATTTAAATTCCATTAAAACATACAAAAAAAGTAAGTAGCTTTTAATTGAATTAAATTTAAATGATGGTTAGTTTTAGTTTTAAGTCAAGTTATGACTTTATAATAAAAGCATTTGCTTAATAAAAAATAGCTTTGTTTTTACATTTGCTCCCTCAGGTGCGCCAACTACAAGAAAATGCAGCTCAGCTGCGTGCAATTTACGCCGGGGAAAAGGCAGATGCCATTTTTTCCCGTGAGCAGGAAGTGATGCAGGCCTGGAAAGAGCTCCTCGTTGCATGTGAGGGCAGCCGTGTGCAGGTTACCACAGTAACCGATAAGATCCAGTTCTTTGCTGTGGTGCGAGAACTGAGCATGTGGATGGATGGAATCATGGGACAGATTGGCTCGACTGACGATGCAAGGTACCAGATCATTTATAGAACTATCGGAATCATCCTGAATATACCGTTGGATTTCAATTTTAAACCAATCGTGATAGACAATGTTCATCAGGATAATGTGTGTGCATGTTTCTTGTTTGTGTCTGGGCGTGGGTTTCGGTGTTGGGTGGGTCCTTGTGTACGTGTCAGGGACCTCTCTGTGCTGGAGGGCATGATGTCCCAACATCAGATTTTGAAGAGTAAGATAGATAACAAGAGCAAGAACTTTGTGCATTGCGTGGAGATGGGAAAGATGCTGCTCGCTGCACGCAACCCTGCAGCTGAAGAGGTAGACACATACTCAAACACTGAACAATTTGTGTGCACACCTTAAAGGGACAGTTCACCCAAAAATGAAAAATCTGTCATCATTTACTCACCCTCATGTTTTTCCAAACCTGTATGAATTTCTTTGTGGAGAATGAAGATATTTTGAAGAATGTTTGTAACTAACAAATGTTTGGTTTTTTCAAAATATCTTTATTTGTGTTAAGCAGAACAAAGAAACTCATACAGTTTTGGAACAATGATTAAACAATGACATACATTACATTTTTGATTGCATCTCTTTAAAACATGCAAACGTATACATACAATCATAGAAAACCAAAGAAGTACCAAAAAACTTTACTGTGTTTAATCACTATGTATTTTAAAACTTATATGCTGATTTGGTGCACAAGAACATTTCTTATCATTATCAATGTTAAAAACTGTTCTGCTGCTATATGTTTTTATGGAAACTGTGCTAAATTGTTAAAAAAAATTAAATCTGACCCCTTATGTTTTGAACAGTAGTGTAAAGATCCAAGGATATAATTTTCTTCTTTTTGTTATGTGACAGTCACATTAAAAACGTTTTGACAGGAAAAAAATGCCTTTTGCATTGAATACACCCATTTTGTCCCCCTGCATAAAACATGGATAATTTGCCATCCGTGTTCTGCTCATAAATGATTACAATATTTATACCCTCCGATCCAGGTAAAGGAAAAGCTGGAATATGTCATGGCAAAGCAGAAAGACCTGAATGAGCGATGGGAACAGCACTGGGAGAAGCTTCAGCAAGGTCAGTGGTAACTTTATTGTAACATCATGTCCAATGTCTGCCAATTTAATCCTCCTTCAGAGTGATCCATAAGCTCTATTTGTGCCCTCCAGCCCAGCAGAGGCTGCAGTCTACCCAGCCAGGATCAGCAGAGCAGTCCTGGCTCACAATCAAAGAACCAGTCACTCCAAACACTCGTGATACAGGGGGCGGGACAGACGAGGTAGAGGAGCTGATTCGCCGGCATGAAGCGTTCAGGAAGGCTGCAGCCACATGGAAGGACCATTTCAGCTCATTACGACAGGTCATTATGGAAACAAAGACTTATAAATAACATAAAATGAAGAACTAAAAACTCATTGACTCTTTGTTTAACATTCTCTTTCTCCTCCATCTGCAGGCAGAGAAGATGAAGGAGGAAGCGAGCAGGCCACCTTCTACCTCCTCTCTCCTCAGCAGGCAGATGTTCCCTCTCTCCTGCCTTGTGCCCAGCTCCTCTTCCTCGTCCTCGTCCTCCTCTCTTTTCCGTAACCCTCTTCAGGACTCTCTTCCGGAGTCTAAGCCTGGGCCGGACCTCATGCACCCCACAGAACAGGTGGTGGCACACACACTCCCTCAGCGGCTCCTGTCCAACCTGAACAACTACACGCCCATTATGAATGGCTCCTCCTACCACGGGCTAAACCAGCCATCAGGGTTTGTGGTGGAGGGATCTTTCTACCATGGGCTAAAACAACAGGGTGTTTCAGGGTTGGATAATTCCAGCTATCAGGGGTTAAACCAACAAGTTGGTGTCTTGGGGGTGAACAGCTCCAGCTACACTGGACTAAACCAACAGGGTGGTTTAGGAGAGGATGGCTCCAGCTACCATAGCCTGAACCATTTAGGTGCTGTGGGGGTGGTAGAGCCCAAAATAGGATATCCTTGGCAACACCTGAAAGCTGACTGCTTTCAGCCTAAAATCAACCACATTCACAAAGCTGTTCCACCTTTACTGGAGGCTCACCGAGCTCAGCTCGCCAGTGGAGGGGCAGGCGTCCCAGCTCCTACCATGGGCCTGGACCCCTCCCTGGAGATGATCCACAGCCGTTTACAAAGAGACCCCCGGGGAAGCCGCTCTGACCCGCAGATGGATCACCTGCGGCGGGAGAGAGAGTACCGGCTTGGCCGACAGACCTCCAGCGAGCAGGAGATACAGGCGCGACTTAACGAGCTCCCGATGATTGTTAGGCAGGAGCGTTACCGTCGAAGACTGGAGAGACAGTCGTCCAGTGAGCAGGAGGCCAGTGGTAGGCAGAGAGTACAGAAACATGACTCTAGCGATGCAGAATCTGGGAAAGAGCCGTCCGACAAGAAACCATCTGGGTGAGTGTGTGTATATATAGTTTGGACCAAAACCTCCTTTCTGTGATGTCCTTAAAGATAAAAATAATTCATAAATGAAGTAAAGGAAATGTATTATTTTCAATACTAAAATGCATTAGCTTTTAGAGATGTGTTTAGGGTTTGGGTTAATGTTTAAGATCCCCACAAGGAAAGTAAAACCTGAACTCAGCCAATGAAGCTTAATAAACGTACTAAGTAATGAGCAGTGCTGTAATTGTTAACTAAAACAAACAAAAAAAGTTAATTGCAATAAAGTAAAGTATATAAATATTAGATGGAAAACTAAAATTAGAAATGTTTCCTTGGCAATTAACTGCAATAAAATAAAAATTACTACTAAAACTGAAATAAATAATTAAAAAAAACTATTAAAACTGACAAAAGCACATAACAAAATTACAAAACCTTAAATGGAAAAATAAAAACAAATGCTAAACCAAATATAAAAAATTTCTATAAAAATGTGTACAAAATTATACTGAATGAATAACGAAATATACTGTAAATGATTATATAAAAATGCTGAAAGTTTGTAGTGAGGGCTAAGTCTATGGTTAAGATTTAGAAACTATAATGTCTATGGTTAAGATTTAGAAAGTATAATTAGTTCAAAATAAAAGCATAGAAGTCAAAAGAAAGTCCCTACCATGAAAAAATAACAAATCTGTGTATGTGTGTGTTCTTATCTGTATGTGGGTATCTAACTTCTAAGTTGGCTTTCTCATCTTTTTTAGGGAGAAGCGTTCCACTATGGCTGAGATTGTTGAGCAAGTGCAGGAGAGAGAAGCTTGCCATGTATGTGTCATGTGTCTGTACTGAATTTAATATTTGTCATAAATTTAATTCACATCATACATCACATTCCCCATCACCATTTTAATGCGTCCTCTAAACAATTAGTAATACACCACGTTTGGTTTCAAAAGTTTGGGGTTGGTAAGAACTTTCCGAGGCTCACCTTTGAATATGTTTTCAAATGCAATTTCTTTAATGGCAAATCTGATTTCATTAGCAACCGTCTTCCGTGTCACATAATAAATTCTAATAGGCTGATTTGGTGCTCAAGAAACAATTCTCAATATTATCAATGTCGAAGACTTAAATATTTTTTGTGCAAACCGTGATGTATTGTTTGATTCAGGATTCTTTGATGTATGGAAAAGAAAATTGTAGCCATGTTAAAGTTACATTTAATCGATTTATTGGATCCTTGCTTGCTGAATAAAAGTATTAATTGCTTTATAAAAAAAACTTGCTGACCCCAAACTCATCGGTAGTGTATGTTCAGGTGATTCTCTTTACTTTTAAATCAGTCCACACATCACTGATTTAAAGGTTTAGGATTTTTGTGCCATTTGTATCATTCAAAGTCGAAATAAGAGTAGACCTACTGCAGGTACAGTGCCTCTGGAGTGTCCCGGTCTTGTTCAAGGGCACAGTGGTGATCTCAGCTCAGACTCTTAAATTATTTATTTAGTTAGGTTAGATTGATCTTATGCAAACTTTGATTTAGCTCTATGTAGATATAAGTGAAAGTTTGGTACAGTACTGTATGTGCATATTTTTTCTAAGCAAAGAAAGCACTTGAATGTCATGCAAAACACACCTTATTTTCATATACACATTCAGTATCAACAAACGGTTCGTACATGCACAAAGAATATCTTCTTTTTCAGTCGAAGGGAGAGGCGTACAGACCATCCAGTAGCCTCTCTGCACCAGGGAGCCGCCTGGATCGCCCTCGAGCTCGTGACCGCCCCAAACCACGGCGAAGACCTCGTCCAAAAGAACCCGAAGAGCCACGGAGGTCCCGTTCTGCGCCCGCTCAGGGTGGCCCATCCACACATCAGCCTCCTACCCACACAGTCCAACATGAGGGCTTTTTGTACAGGAAACACGAAGAGGAAGGGAAAGAGAGAAGCCCAAACAGGTTTGTGTCTTACTAGCTGCTAATGACTATTCATGATTTTTTTCTGATCATTATAATCTTATGAATAATCTAAATGCTTTTCATTGCTACTGCTAATACACTAGAAATCATGTTACCTAGCTATTAGCTAATTATGTTAATTTCATCCACAATTAACACTGTGTTCAGAATAGCATGCATATTGTTAGATAGTAAACAAACCCAGTCTGCAAGGATAAATTACATGAATTGATGTACATAAAATTGTTGCTGCAAACATGACTTGCAACCTGCAACTTTAAAAGCTAGAGGTAGATTACATTCTGGTACAGTAAATGATGTACATTGAATGAGCTGTCACTGAATATGATGAATTCAGTGTGATATTAACCCTTTTTACATACTTAAAATATACGTTGTGCAGTATAGGGTTAAGTGTATATACGACACACTGAGGTTCATTTCAAATGTATTATGAATAGTCAAAGATGTAATATTCAAGATTGTGGGACCAAATTTATTTTTATGTCATTTAAAACCCATATTGATCAACCATTGTTCTGAATATTGGGGACTGGGGGTCATTGGTGGTCATGGCCCTGTGAATAGTAGTAATGCTGTTCTGAGTGTGCTTGTCTGATAATAGCAATACCAAATGCCTTGGTATGGCCTAATAACTCACAAAGTTTTTTTCCTAACCTTTTGCACCTCCTGCAGCAAGTCGTGGGTTAATATGTTCTGCGTGCTCAAACAAGGGGAGATTGGTTTCTACAAGGACGCACGACACAAGACCACACCCTTCAACGATGAGCCACTTCTCAACCTGGCCATCTGCGAATTTGACACTACCAACGGATACAAAAAGAAGAAGAATGTCTTCATTCTCAGGTACTGATCTTTAATAATACTGCTTTGCCTGCTAATCTACAAAAAACAATAGCAAACAACTATGCAGGAAATGCACTTTCAAACTACATTCCAACAAGACCTGATGCTTTTTGAAGTTTTTGTGTTGATTTATTTTCTATTGAAACCCGGTTGATATGGGTTAGGACATACTGTAGGATTGACTTAATGTTTAATTGTTTAATTTTTTAGATGCTTTATTACACTACTTTTTAAAAGTTAATAAGAATATTTTTTAAACAAATGAATACCTCATTTTAGCAAGGATGTATATTCCTTGCATTTATATTTTTACCAATAATTTCTATTTCAAATAAATGCTGTTCTTTTGAACTTTTTACTCATTCTACAGAATATTGGAAAATGTAGCACAGTTTACACAAAAATTTAATTGTGTTCAAAATTGATAATAATAAGAAGAATGTTTATTGAGCAGCAAATCGACATAACATATTGATTTCTGAAGAATCGTGTGACACTGAAGACTAGAGTAATGATGACGAAATTATAGGAATAAATTACATTTTAAAATATAATAAAATAGAAAAGAAACTTACAGCAAAACATTTTAAAATTTAACTGACTCCAAATTTTTGGACGGTAGCATACAGTACCATATGACAAAGGCAACTTTCCCATACATATTAACTTCATATGATCTTCCCCTTTTAACACCTTTTTAATATATAGGCTATTTATGTGTTTGTTATTTTCAGGACCACTGCTGAAGGGGACTACATCTTCCTGGCTAAGGATGAGGTAACGACAAAGCCCCATCTGATTGAAAAAGATCAGAGTATTTTGTCTATTGTGGCCCTATTACAATTGTGTGTGTATTCTGTCTCGCAGGAGGATCTGAAAGGTTGGGTCAACAGTATCAACGCAAGCCTGAAAGAGATCGCGGACATTGCCAAGTGGGAGAAAGCCACAAACTCCTCAACTGACCCTGACAAATCAGAGCGCAAGGAGCGTTCTGAAGGGGCGGAGCCATTGGAGGGGGCGGAGAGATCAGAGAGGTCAGAGAAGTCTGAGCGTTCAGACCGATCAGATAAAATAGAGGCATCGGACAAAAGCTCAGAAAAGAGGGACGCATCTGAGAAAGAGAGAGGAGATAGAGGTGAAAGGGAGGAAAGAGAGAGGGGCGAAGGAGGAGACCGGGGTTCCCGGGGTTCCAGGGGTTCCAGCACTTCGGGAAAAAGCAAATGACTCATCTCTCGACACGTTTATTTACTCATCCATCCCTCCATCTTTCCAGAGAGAAGACAGGACTTGCATTTCTCTGTCTCTGTCGCTCTGTTTGTCCTGACAGCCTGATTCCAGGACAGATGTAATTGATTATGTCCCTCGAATGTGTCGATGTGTGTCTGTGTGCGTGTGCCAATGTGTTGAAGAGAACGTCTGTGAAAGAATCAGTATATGAACGTATCCCAGCATCAGAGGGCCCGTTCAGCCGCCCTGCTCGACTCTCACAGAAAAGGCACTTTAGATTATTGAGGATGACTATTATAGCCCTTAATATTTTAGAAGCGTTTTCTTGAAGCAATATATTGTATGTAGTAACCGATGCCGCTTGTTTTAGCTGCTCTGCTCTGCTCTTCCGAGTGAGTGTGAGAGAGAGAAAAAGTGACAGAGAGGACTTTCCGAGAGAGAAATCTGGTGCGGTATTAGGATCGACATCCTTACACAGCCCCACACATGCATACGCGCACGCACTGTGCATTATGGGAAAATGTTCGGTATGGAACACCATTCTCTCTCCTGAGGCCGCACACGTCTTCCACCTGCTGCTCGTAGTAATGGTTTTAATCATGTGAGACGCTTCACAGTGCTGAGGTGAGCTTGATTCAGTCCAAACTACACTCGACGAAGTCTCAGTCACAATACGTGAATATAATGTGGCAGTGTGTGTGTGTGTGAATACAGCTCCATCCAGAAGGAGCTCAAATGTACTATGTATAATCTCATTGATCGTATTTATTAGGTTATCGTGATACGAATTTAAAGTGCAAAGTTATTCTTCCCTGAACTAAGAGGAAGTACGATCAAACACCCCCCGTACGTGTACAAATATGCTGCTTTTTATCATCTCTGCCCCCCTACATCACTCTTTGATTGTAAAATTAGTACACATAAAATAGGGTGTCTGTGATTTTTGTCATGCTATAATGAAAAAGATTGTATATATATATATTTGTATATATACTAGTAAACGAGATTTACTTCTATGAACTGCAGCGTCTAATTAAAAAAAAAAAAATCATTTTTATCAACTTATGAAAATCTAACAAGTTAAAAGTTGTTTTAAAGTGCCCCTGGCTGAATTTAGACGGTAAACATGCGCGTTAGCCGAGATCTCTTGCATATGGAAACGCAACTTTTACTGTTTACGGTTTGTTTGTTTTTTTTTGGCCAGGGCAAAAGATCAGGATTCTTGTAAAAAGAAATCACCATTAAAATACTCATCCGAAACTGTTTTGTGTTTAATTTAGATGTTAAGAGAACTGTCTCTTGACAGCAGTTGCAATTAATATCGACAAAGACAATGATATTCCCCCTAAAATAGTTCAAATATGTATGTGAAAATTATATTTACACAGATATGATACAAACAAAAAATATCAAAGTAAACAAATCATTTTGGTGAGGTCAAGCTTTTCCTCTCTGGCTCTGTTTTCACCAAAGAGTTTAAACTCTAACTGACCTTACTGTCTATGCAACAAACTAGTTCTTTTAGTGAATCTAAATCTGTGAACAATCACATTCGTAATCCAACACGGTCAACAAACCTCTGCTTGGAAGGTCAACAACATTAGGACTCATCTGATGGATTTTTGTGACGTTTTTGTTCTCACTGTGGGTGCCTTATGAATGCATGTAATAAGCAGATGCAGGCACTTCCTCCAGTATTATGTTCCAGATAAAACATGCATTATTATGTGTTGATCACAGAAAGCATTGCTTACAGACACTTGCCCCTTGTTCAGATCTAGTTAAACATGCAACATTGTTGTCACATGACACAAAACAGCCCCTTATGGCAGCAGAAAACAGTCACGCACCCTCCAGACTGGCTTAGACTTAGTGTGATGGAGTCAAATCTGGTTCTGATTGGATTCTTCTTTGATTATAAATGTCACAGAAACTACATAAATTGGGACTAAACATGTTTTGCACTATGTATCTGTGACTGATAAATGGGATTGAATGAATGTCTGTATGTCTCTGTCTTGTCTTTGCTGAAGCAAACTCTCCTGACAACCAGTCAACCAACTCCCCGTCCCAAAGCATAGCCAAAAACTATTTAAAATCATCTGACTTCACTTTCGGACTCTTCTACATATCCAACATTTGTTTCAGAGTGACCTTGACTATGGTCTACCTGCAAAAAGCACAATTTCTCCCCCAACAACAATCTGGAGTATTAAAAGACGCTGGATTCTGTCCTACACCATGACCCCTTCCTTTCCTAAAGTTGCCACATGAGGTCAGTGTTGCAAAGTCATTGCTGTGCTAAAATATCTTATTTGAACTCTTCAGGGTTTTTTTTTAACCCAGAAATGTTGACAGACAGGGTCACTACACTGCATATTTATCTGTGATTTTTTTAGACCATGTAGTCAGTTTTTGGTTTGCCAAGCCTTTCTTTGTTTCTTTGGCAGTGCCACTCACTTCTCTCCCCAGCTTGACCTCACCAGCAAGTCTATATTTTAAATCATTTCTGAACAAATGAAAAAAAGAAAAGAAAATCAAGCCCTAAAATAGACAGATTGTGGTTTGCCCTTCTTTATTCAAAGTCAGTTGTTTCACACATTAAATTAAAGAAAAACTATTAAGTTGCATGAAAGAGAATATAGAGGTGATTTCTATGCAACAGCTGTGCATGTTTATCAAAAGGGTTTCAATCTTCAGCAAAGCACTGGGTTTGGATGATGATGATGGAGATGGAGAAATGAGTGGAATGAGCAGATCACTTGTATAGCTGAAATGAGACATTAAATCATTTATGTACTGATATCTGCACTACTTCATAAATACAGGTTGTATATATCAGTGTGCTGTGGTGTTTTGATTTTGGTGACTGTGTCTTATTTGCAGGTACGTTTTAAATGATATTTTTTCATCTATAGAAATTGAAAAAAATTGGTCCTTTACTAATGATTAGTTTACAGTCCACTTTTAAAGTACCTTTACATTTAAATAATAATTAAAACCCCCTTCACAGATAACTTCAAAAGAAACATCTTTGACATGACTGTGAGTGTGTAAATAAAGAGAATGTATTTTTTTTTAAAGAGACAATGTCTCCGAGTTACATTTTAAAGCTAACCTCTAGCCACGATGTAACTTCTCAAATGATTTCACTTTCTGACTTCTATACAATATTTACCATTTTCAAGTTACCATCTTTTTACAAAAGCGGTAGTTAGATACATATCTATACATAATATGAAAAAGACAAAAGTAAAAGACTGGAGTCACAATGGTCATGAAAATGTATGTAGTTAGTTTTCAGGCAAATAATAGAGGACAAGACAAGTCCAGAAACTTCATCTGATGTGGCCTTTTTTGGAGCAATACCTCCGCAATATCCAGAGACTTACCAGCTCTATTGCGAGTAGCTAGCTAAACCTATGTGCGTCAAAGCCATTCAAAGCTAATTAACATTTTTCTGCTGTTTTGAGAATAGCCGTTTTGACCATAGACATCATATAGGAGGACGCCATATCGACCGCTACAGCCTATTGGCACCATAGGCCGCGTTTCCGCCGCAGGAGCTTTCCCCAGGAACCAGGAACTTTGGGGTGGGACTCGGTGTGTTTACACCGCAGGAACCAGGGTCTAAATGAAGTTCCGGGTAAAAAATTCCCCTCCAGAAAGTCCCTGCTGGCAAGGTGGTACTTTTTCAGAGTTCATGCGTTTTCAGAGTTCATGAACTTGCGGGGTGGGACTTGTGTGCTGAACAGGCAGACTTATTTCCAGGGGTTTCAGTACAGTTAGGACAGGTATCTCGTATGAAACCCCTGTAAACACACACACAGGTATCTGATACACATATACAGTTAGGACAGGTATCTGACGTGAAACCCCTGTAAACACACACACAGGTATCTGATGCACGTATACAGTTAGGACAGGTATCTGACGTGAAACCCCTGTAAACACACACACAGGTATCTGGTGCAGATGTACAGTTAGGACAGGTATCTGACGTGAAACCCCTGTAAACACACACACAGGTATCTGATGCACGTATACAGTTAGGACAGGTATCTGACGTGAAACCCCTGTAAACACACACACAGGCATCTGATGCACATGTACAGTTTGGACAGGTATCTGACGTGAAACCCCTGTAAACACACACACAGGTATCTGATGCACATGTACAGTTAGGACGTGTAACCAGTGGTGGAATGTAACGAAGTACAAATACTTTGTTACTTTACTTAAGTGCATTTTTCACGTATCTTTACTTTACTTAAGTAGAATAGCGCATACTTTTTACTTTTACTTCGTTACATTTTGCAGCAATTATTATACTTTCTACTCCACTACATTTCTACAACTTCTGTTACATTTTCATTACATTTTCTGATCAGTTTTTCCCCTGCCAAAACGTAATCTGACCGTCTGTCCATTGCACGTTTGTCTCACCAGTGACGTTTGGTTGCCATAGAGCCTCCATTTTTGCACTCAGGTCTAAGTCCCATGGCCCTCTATCAGAATCCAGAGTTTCAAGAAGATTGGAGAAATGGGGGGGGGGGGTCGAAATTTTGAGTTTCTCTGATCTTCTTGAAACTCTGGATTCTGATAGAGGGCCATGAGACTTAGACCTGAGTGCAAAAATTGAGCCTCTAGACCCTTCCAGAGCTGAGATATTTATAATTCTACCAGAAAGACTCAGGAGATAAGTTGAAAAGCAGAATACATTTATTGACAGCTCAGCAAGCATACATTTATGAGTTCTTTGGCGTAGGCCCCGTCCTTAGCGAGCAAAGCGAGGTTAGCCAAATCTGCATGTCCCGCCTGAGATGAAGGCGGGGGCGCAGCTGACCCCCTGGAGGTAAGGAAGGGACCATCCTGGTGGTGGTGATGGGGAGGATGGAGGGGAAGGTACCATCTTGGTGGTGGTTGGGGTGGATGGAGGTAAATAGCAGTGTCAGCATCTGCAAATTCAGACGAGTGTAAGTACCAGTCTTTTATACTGTGACTGTTAACACCTGATTGGATAGGAATGAGGTAATATATGACGCGCTAATTGAGTCTTCCTGACAGAACTTAAGCTAAAGCTTTCATTGGCATAAATGCTAAGTGGGATCTCAATATCTCAGGTCTGGAAGGGTCTAGAGACTCCATTTTTGCACTCAGGTCTAAGTCTCATGGCCCTCTATCAGAATCCAGAGTTTTGAGAAGATTGGGGAAACGTAATTTTTCACCCCCCCAAAAAAAACGTAAGGGGTTACACTGTCGTTTTTTTTTCTGGTCGAAATTTTGAGTTTCGATATCTCAGCTCTGGAAGGGTCTAGAGCCTCCATTTTTGCACTCAGGTCTAAGTCTCCTGGCCCTCTATCAGAATCCAGAGTTTTGAGAAGATTGGGGAAACTTAATTTTTTGCCCCCCAAAAAAACGTAAGGGGTACCACTGTCGTTTTTTTTTTCTGGTCGAAATTTTGAGTTTCGATATCTCAGCTCTGGAAGGGTCTAGAGCCTCCATTGTTGCACTCAGGTCTAAGTCTCATGGCCCTCTATCAGAATCCAGAGTTTTGAGAAGATTGGGGATACTTAATTTTTCGCCCAAAAAAAAAAAACGAAAGGGGTACCACTGTCGTTTTTTTTTCTGGTCGAAATTTTGATTTTCGATATCTCAGCTCTGGAAGGGTCTAGAGCCTCCATTTTTGCACTCAGGTCTAAGTCTCATGGCCCTCTATCAGAATCCAGAGTTTTGAGAAGATTGGGGAAACTTAATTTTTCGCCCGAAAAAAAAAAACGTAAGGGGTACCACTGTCGTTTTTGTTTTCTGGTCGAAATTTTGAGTTTCGATATCTCAGCTCTTGAAGGGTCTAGAGCCTCCATTTTTGCACTCAGGTCTAAGTCTCATGGCCCTCTATCAGAATCCAGAGTTTTGAGAAGATTGGGGATACTTATTTTTTCGCCCCCCCCAAAAAAACGTAAGGGGTACCACTGTCGTTTTTTTTTCTCGTCGAAATTTTGAGTTTCGATATCTCAGCTCTGGAAGGGTCTAGAGCCTCCATTTTTGCACTCAGGTCTAAGTCTCATGGCCCTCTATC